TTTAGTAATTAAGTTTTAAAACGTTATCATTTGATAAATAATTTTTAAAAATACTATAATGTACGTTTAGGTATAAATTCAGTTTGTGTACTTTTCAACGTATTTTTTATTTTATGTTTTCGTACTTATTTTTGTGTACGTTACGTATGTATGATTTGGATCATATATAATACGTTTAGGTATAAATCTTATTTATTTTTATGTACATGTTGGAATAAATTTCAAGTTCTTTACATTTTCGTGCTTATTAATATTACATAGACGAATGGTGGTGCAGTTGTGGGTTTCTTGGTGGAAAATGGGCGATGGAAGATTTCATGGAAGTAACATATACAAATCAAGAGGTGTTAGCCTTTCAAAATAGCTTTCGCATCGGCTGTGAAAGGAGGAAAACCGTTAAACCAGTGAGTAATCAACAAAAAACGAAGGGTTGTCCCAGGAGGATGAAATTAGTACCTGTAACTTCATGAAGTCTTGCTTGTTCATCTTCATCGACCTTCGATAGCTTGTTTGTGAAGAAGTCATGAAATGCAAAGAAGTGAAGTAGGTCATCGACATTGGTGAAATTAGTGTAAAATCACGGGGGTTCTCAGAAGCAGAGCAAGAGCCCTAATTTGAAACCCACAAAGATTAAAATAAAATAAAGCTTGAACTTACTCTTATTGTCCAAGTACAGTTCTCTATTTCACGGAGTTTTGATTTTGAAATCAATTAAGATCTATAGTGGGAAGGGATATCTGTGTAGAAGAAATCAAGAGAAGGGAACCGGAGGTCCAATGAGAATGAAAAGGAAGAGGGGACTACCACTATAGATAATCATCGTTGTTGTAGGCGATTTGGTGTCTTTCGGTACCAGAGCTCCAGAACCGTCAATAATATTGAAAGGGGTAGACTATGCGTCTAGTAGAAAGAGAAAGAGTAAGGGGATATTGGTGGCATCGATTGTAGAACTATGGAAATGTGGTGGTATGCTAGACAAGGGAATCAGGGTAGGATACAACTTAAGATGGGAAATGGTGGAAGCGTGCTTTTTCAGCTCCACAGTACCGACTACTATTTCTCTATATCAAAGATGCGGAACACTGAGATTGGAGAATAGGAGACTGGTTCCTGACGGCTGTGAGGCAGTGATGAAGTTTGTTGTCAGTTTGAGAGAGGTGAATGTAAGGTTTGAGAGATTGTGTAGTTTGATCGTATTTGAAGATGTGTGCTTTTTAAATTTTAAATTAGGCGGATTGACTGGGAATTCAAATGACAATTTGATTTTGAAGAGCGCTAGTCAGATAAGAAAGAGAGAAAATAGGAAAGATACAAGAGTCGGGTCAAAGATATGGATTCATTATTTGCATTTTAAGCTTAAATGCTTGTATGATTTAAATTATAATATTATTATATTTATAGGTTGTTGTACTTTTAGCTTTATAGTTTGGATGTCTTTAAAAAAATAATATTATTATATTGAATCTATTTTTAGAAAGAATAAGATTTTTTTTATAAGATAATATATATATATATATATATATATATATATATATATAAGCAGGTTCAACTGAAAATAAATAATTAGTGCAACATATGTTGGAACCAATGATCAAGTGACAGATATTCATTTCTTTATTCATAAGTAATGTACTATGGAAGTTATTTATGTAGTTACTCCAAAGTGATGCATTGTCATGCTTTCATTGGTTCTAACATGTGTTGCCCTAATTATTTATTTTTCATATAACCGTTCCTTATATATATATATATATATATATATATATATATATATATATATATATATATATATATATATATATATATATATATATATATATATATATATATATATATATATATATATATATATATATATGGAAAACGACTTACAAGTCCAACGAAGTTTCCAAACCGTTCAAAAAACCACAATTATGTTTTGTTTGTTCAAGAAAATCTAACGAACTTAACATTTTCTCTAAAAAAGGCCAACTAAGTTATATTTTTGTTCTATTCTATGGAGGTCAAAGAAGAGAAACAGATGACGTGACTTATTACCATATCAGGAAAATGACTTGTCAGACAAACAAAGTTTCCAAACCGTTAAAAAAACTCCAATCATGTTTTGTTTGTTCAAAAACACCCAACGAACTTAATCTTTTGAAAAGACAAGAAATGATTGTGGTTTTTTGAACAGTTTGGAAACTTCGTTGGGTTTTTTAGACAAAAAGTTAAGTTTGTTAGGTTTCCTTGAACAGACAAAACATGATTGATGTTTTTTGTACGGTTTGAAAACTACATTGGGCTTGTAAGTCATATATATATATATATATATATATATATATATATATATATATATATATATATATATTGTGACATCCCATTTTCACGGACAGAAAAGACCGATTTTGTTTATGCTTTATAAAAATCAGAGTACTTCTTTTCATAAAAATGTTGCGTAATTTGTTCCTAGAGAAACATGATAAATACGTTATTAAAACATTTTCGAAGAAACGTATTTTATTCATTTTAAAACGTTTGGGATGTCATTGTTAATACAGATATATAAGCATAAACAGAACTTACATTTATTTACACTAGTGATCTATATCTCTTTAAATCTCTCAGTGTAATGTGACTTCATATCAACACTTGTGATATAAATAAACTAAGTGGGTCAGGTTGGGAAACCTGGTGAGTACATAGGGTTTTCAACCCACAATAATATAATTATTATGTTTAAACAATCAAACAATCAACCTAATTACCCATCCCCATTATCTTCTTTACTCTTAAGGATTTATCCTAAGAGTCATCTATCATGTATTCGTTTATTCCGAAGTCCCTTACTTCCAGGGTTATAGGACTGGCACTAAATCCATAGGACTGACACTAAATCCATAGCTGCCAATGTTCGTTCATAAAGCACTAATTCCATAGTTGCTATAGTCTATTCATCAGGTACTAAATCCATAGCTACCAGTGTTTATCTAATAGGTACTAAGTTCATAGCTACCAATTCCTAACAGGTACTAAATCCATAGCTACCGGTGTTTGTCCAATAGGCACTAAGTCCATAGCTGCCGATGTTTGTTAGGCACTAAGTCTATAGCTGCCAATGTTTACTCACATCATCTTTTATCTCTCATCATTCATCTACCCATGTCATACCCAACATATTCGTATATATAAAATACGTATACAGTTTAAATCTTTTAAAACATGTATAAAACGTTCATACAACATAGACAACAAGTATTCAGATAATATGCACACATAGCACGTAGTTTATATAAAATACTTCATATTTATGTTTAAGATGAAAGGGACTATGAACTCACCTGAAAGGTGGTGACTTAGTACTCGAACAGCGCTTCGATACTCTCAAAACAATTCCCTTCGATAAAACCTAGTATCAACACCACTAAGGTTTAGTTTAACGATAACCGCGACAAATTAATAGTCTGACTATTATTATTATCATATAAGTGTTAAATAACACTCAATATAATTCATAATAATAGCCCAAATAATTATTTTAAGGATCTAATAACATTCCTATAATTATTTGAAAGTTATATTAAAAATTTTGTAAGCGTAGCACACTTACAGCGAATTTTATCGAAAACTGGAACTTTATTTGGAGCAGCGTTTTGAAACCGAAAGACCCTTTTTCTCAGGACTCCGGGTGCCTTGGGGCTTCCTTATGGTGCTAGGGGATCACCTAGGCTTAGGGGAGGGTTAAAACCCTTAGAGAGAGAAAGAATTTTAGAGAGAGAAAGAAATTGGTGTGTTTTGCTCGGAAACCCTCGCAGCCTATTTATAGGTGCGAGCCTTCGGAGGTACGTTGGGCGTACAGCAGCATTACGCTGCGCGTAGGGGCAGGTGTCTCGCTCCGGGTGGGGTGACGTGGGCATTCTTCGAACCGCACAAGAGAGGAGAACGATGGGCATTCCGAGCTGCGTACGCGGGGCGTATGTGAGGGCTACGTGTCCGAATCCGAAGACCAGACCGTCATCCACAAGCTACGGCCCTGATCGAGCCACGTCATCACCCATTGCACCAGCTTCGTAAATTCGAGTTACAACTTCAAAAATTCGTAACTTTTGCATACGACCTCCATTTTCGATGTTCTTTATATCCACGCGAAGGTGGAAATGTACTCTACAACTTTCGTTTAGACTCCGTTGGCTAATTTTGACTCGATTTTAAATTTTATATTATTAACAGACCGGGACAGGATTGGTTCGTTAAATCGTCATAACTTCTTCATCAGACGTCCGTTTTTGCCCATCTTTTTCTTGTTACTCTACTATTAACGAGATCTTTGATTCTTGTTTAGGTTGTGTCGGCTAAAAACCGCTCGATCTAATATTCGAATTCCGGGTTGTACACTGCTAATCCGAAACTTCGAAAAATCATAACTTCTTCATACGAAGTCAGATTTGGGCATTCTTTTTATCGATGTTCTTAGTTTAACGTATTCTATGACTTTTGTTTATATTGCTAAGACTAAAACTTGCTCTATCGTAAATTCACTATTTACGCTTCCAGGTGCCGTGCCGGTTCCGTCGCAAAACTTCGACGGGTCATAACTTCTTCGTTATAACTCGGATTTCGGCGTTCTTTATATGTACGGAAACCTTGTGGCATATACTAAAACTTAGTTCAAATTATTTGTTCTAAATAATATTTTGTAGAAAAGTCGTTTTCGATACTTATTGCCTCTAAGTTTACTAGCCCGGATCTACAGGCATTACATATATATACACACACACATGCACACACACATTTACAAGTTTAATAGAGAATTACATTTACAGAAGGAACTTAGAGAACTTTTTTTCGATATAGAATTTTAACAATATAACATCCTTAAAATTGACTTCAAAGTTTTTGTTCATTATAGTGAAAAATAAAATATTTTTGAAATAAAATAAATATAAATATAAATAAATAATAAAAATAAGATATATAATAATTAAACAATTCAAATAATAAGGAGGTTTGCTCATACTCGTAAGACCACCAGGCTCGCAAATTTTGCATATTCTTCATACTCGAGCGGTTATTGCCAATACAATATTTCTCTAAACCGAAGTCCTACAAATATGTAGTTTTTTATCCTATTGGGCAAAATGTTATGGCTGAGGAGTTTACGACTCTTTATCGGACTCATATGTTGGATATGGTTTTGCTCCCACTTGGAAAGCATAAGATTGGTTGTCGTTGGGTATACAAGATCCGAACAAATTCTGATTGGTCCGTTAAACGTTATAAGGTCAGACTCGTTGCAACTCGCAAAAATATGGTATGGATTATGGTGAGACTTTTGCTCCCGTTGCAAAAATGAAGACTTCGCACTCTGGTTGTTGTTTCTTCCATTCATCAATGGAAGATCTTTTAAATAGATGTCAATAATGTATTCGTGAATGATGATCTTCACAAGGAAGTGTAGATGTCTCATCCCTCAAGTATTACTCACCAGCTAGGTAACATTTGTCGGTTTCAGAAAGCTTTGTATGGTCTCAAGCAAGCCCCTCGTGTTTGGTTTGAGAAATTCTCTACTGTTATTATTTCAATTGGTTTTACTCATTGTAATCATGATTCAACTTTATTTGTTAGATGTACAAGTGCAGGTCGAATTCTTCTATCCTTATATGTTGATGACATAATTATCATTGGCTCATTGCTAATGATCATAATGGTATAGAGTTTTTGAAGTGTGATTTGCCTTATCGCTTTTAAAGAAGTGGGCTTACTGTGTTATTTCTTATCGATTGAAGTTGCATAATCTCTAAAGGGTTATATTTTGTCTCAAACAAAGGATATTTCTGATTTGTTTAAATGTACACATCTCTCTAACAACATAACCGTTAATACCCCCTGGAGACTAATGTCCAATATTCCATAACTGATGGTATCCCCTTATCATATCCGAGTCTATATCAAACCATTATGAGGTGTTTGGTTTATCTTATTGTCACTTGACCAGCCATAGCTCATGCAGTTATGTGGTTAATCAGTTCTATTATTTATTAAGGAGTTGTTTTTCATATCTTGAGATATCTTCGAGGCTCTCAGTTTTGTAGCCTTGTGTTTCCTTCCACGTCCTCTCTTGAGCTTCGTGCTTATAGAGATGTTGATTGGGATTGTGATCACAAATCTGCCACTAGCTTTGTATCTTTCTTGGAGATTCCTTGATCTCATGAAAGAGTAAGAAACATGATGTTATCTTTTGATCTTTAATAGAGGTTAAATATCGAGCTATCATTGTCACCACTTGTGAGATTCTATGGTTTTTTTTTTTTTTTTTTTTTTTTTTTTTTTTTTTGCTTCTTCCATATATGGGTGTTGACATTTTGTAGCCTACCGCTTACACTATAACAACAATAATGTGATATTGATTGCTAAGAATTTGGTTTTTTCACGAGTGAACGAAACATATTAAGATTGATTATCATTTCACTATTCATCACCATTAGCACTTAACTACCTCTATACCACATGTTCCATCAACCTTGCAAATTGCTCATATGTTTTCAAATGATTTGTCTGCTTTTTTTATTTATTCATTTTTTGTCTAATGAGCTTTTAATGTTTATTGTTGTCGTATTATAAGTTTGGGGAGGCTATTAATCTAATAAATTTACGAGTTTATTTTGTTTTGGACTTTACTTATCATTTTAGCTAAGTCAATGGTAGATAACTTTCCTATTTATAGTTATATTTTTTTTTCTTTGTATATATACTTTTAATTAATAACAAAGCCCTAGTAACCTTTTCTCTTTATTGTTTATTAGTTTATAGTTTGAGCATTAGATCCACCACTTGTATATGTTATTTTTGTTAAAGAGTTATCTTTGTTGAATAAATTAATAGTCTCTTAAATTGCATTAATCGAAATAAGTATAATGTATCGTCCGTAATTATTAGTAATGATTAAATTATGATTAAATTAATATGAAATTGGCTATATTTGATCTTTAAATAATTTAAAAGTATAAGTTTAAATAGACATCAATAAAATATATAATTTGTAAAATCGTGATTATGGATTCAAAACCCAGACCCAAATAGCATTTGATCCATCCTTCCCTATCTAAAAATCCAAAAAAGACACGATATTTGATAATGTTGACCTATCTTTTACCAATGCAAACACACCCTATAAATACCTAATGACCCATTTTTTTGCACTTTGATCACCTTCTGTTCTCTTGGGAAAGGGAAGTTTCTCAGGGAAGGAGTGTGTTTCCGCGTTCCCTGCTTAATCGAAACAGACACACTAGAGTACTCACCACCCTATATTTTCGATCATTTTCTTGCAAAACGCCGCCATCGGCAACCTTATCACCATCATCGCTTAAGAAACAATCGCTGCAAGAAGACGCCAACCGATTACTGAAGAGAAACCAATCAACAAACAAACACCTGGACGTTTGTCAAGAAACGCCTCAATTATCCGTTGCGCTATGTATGTAGATCCAAGCGTTCTAGTCTGTTGTTATATGAATCGTACTTTTTCTATTTATCACTGATAATTCCACTTAGCCGATGCTTTGCGTGTTGGTATGTAATACTTCTGTAGCATTATTTTATTTTTGTATACATTCACTTGTGCGTATGCGGAATTTGCCCTAGGTGAGTCGATTTTTGATTTTTGTGTTCGCTTTTTAAGAGGAGACAGTTTTGAGTGTGTATGTCCTGCATCGATAGGTCATTTCTTACTGTTTGATATGTTTGGTTGTCTTCCTCTCTTATGTTTATTTCTATAAAATGTTCCACAGAAAAAACTGAGTTAGTTTAGCTATTAGGTTTTATAATGTTTTTCAGGCAAGTAATTGAGCCACACTACTTCGGCTTGTGAAAATTGCTCAAGAACACAGTAGTTCATGTAGTTGTAAGTATGCGTATTGATTGGTTATATGTACATTATGCTTATTTATCAAGATATTGCTACTTTTAACAGGCAATTACTCCCTCTGGCAAAAATAAATTTTCCAACATAACTTATAGATTGTGAAATATGATATATCTGTTGACTGTTATTGAGTAAACACAACAAGATAAAATGATTGGAAACGAGAAGGTGTCGTGTATGTGTGCATATTCTAAGGTAGATCTAGGAGGATAGAACAATTATAGTTTCCCTTAATGGTATTTGAATATCTAATCCCCATATAGATTTAAGTTGTTTACTCATATTTTTGACATTCTGTTTTGTTAGCTGTTAATGATGATGATTAATCCTTGTTTATGACTTGAAGGACAAGGATGAAAGGGTCTTCTTCTGACATATCTTTTTCCAATGACGATGAGAAGAACTTGGAATGGTTGCTTGAAGTTTTTGGTTCAAAGATATCTCCTGATGACATGGCATCTGCTTATTGCCAAGCAGGGGGTGACATAAATAAAGCTAATGAAATACTTTGTAATATGCTTGGAAGCTCTTCCAGCAATGATTTACACATTTCAGCTGATGATTTGATTAGTACTACTACACCTGCTGATACTTGTGTGGGTACTACAGTTTCTGGTGTAAATGGTTCTGATTATGCAAGATTGGGAATAATGAATGAGCCTCCAAAGGTTCTTTATCGACCTAAAACAAGAAACTCTGGCATATCAATGGGTACAGTTTCAGGCAGAATTGGTGCTGATTATGGAAGGTCAAGGCCTTTGACTAAAGAACCCCGTGAAATTACCAAACCAGTGAAGTTAATGTCAAATGAGATTCCTACATCCCAGATATGGGTTGAGAAATCAAAACCAGATAATGTAAAAACTGAAACTATGAATAAGGATATCGAGCTCTTTCTGCTTAAGATGCTTGGAGATGGCTTCCAGCTAGACATGGATGTAATCAAACAAGTAGTTGGTAAGAATCTAAGAACCTATTCAATTATCATTCAAATTTCCCATACTTATAACCAAACACCTTTATCCTAATCTTTCTATGGTTGGATGTGTTTTTTTATAATTCCAGGTGGTTGTGGGTATGATGTGCAAGAGGTAAGTTTTCTGTTTATCAGTTAACATTCTAAGTTTTTGTTTAAACATTCCATGGTTCTTCTAAGTTTTAACCCTGATTTGCTAATACAGAGCATGGAGAAACTAATGAACATGTCAGCCCCCACTTTGGATTTGGGAAATGCCACTTCAAGCATGGTTGACCTTGACCAAACATGTAAAGACTTTCAAGATTTGGAGATTAAGTCTGAAGAGAAGCTACAATTCAATGATTCTGCAGAAAGGTATGAAGTTTTGGGTTTTGGGTGTTTGTAACTGTGTATGATAATATGATATCCAATTGTTGATTGAGACAATTATGTTTTTTTTTATTTTTTATTTGGGGGTTTTTTTCAGGTCAAATCTTGAAAAGGAAATATTGGGAAAACTATTTACTTCTAGAGTTGAAACAGGAGCTATTCCTATACGTCCAAGAAGAGAACCAAGGACAAGAAAATATGGTGTAGTTACTGGACCTTTAGAAGAGCCAGTAACAATATTCAAGTCTCCAATTGTAGAAAAAGAAGCTAATAATGGTGATGGTAGAGGGACCCACCCACAATTCCCACTCATTCTATAATAAATCAAACTCTACAACTTTTGCTTATTATTTTGAAACAGGAAATGAAGAAACTGAAGATAACTATGAGACGCTAAGAGAAGCTGCATTGGAGCATTGGGTCACAATGAAAAAATACTACAGAGCTGTAAGCAGGAAAATTTTTTAACTCTTTACTAATTTTGTATATTTCATTTATCATCTTTTAATTAATGTATCACAGGCTGCTGAGGCTTATGCCAAAGGTGACTATGAGCTTGCAAAAAAGTTTGTTAAACAGGTAGCTTGATGTGTTTTTTTTTTTTTAATGCGACATTTATTTAGCATTTGTGTTGTTAGTATATTAATTTGGCTAAAATATGGTGGGCCATGCATATGCATATGCGTAGGGACACTTTTATATGGACAAGGCCCGTGAGGCAAATGAGATGTCTGGTAAAATGCTAACTGAACCTAGGTAAACAATAAAAGATTTTTCTTAATGTTGATTTTATGATGAAATGTAATAATGGGAGGCTTTAGTTTTGATGTATTATTGTTTATGGTTGCAGAAATGATGGGGAGGCAGTTTCTATCGATTTAAATATATATGATCCAAAAGATGCTATTCGTCTGTTGAAAACACAATTAAAATCTATGTGTGGCATACCATGTAGGGGGGGCCTCTTGTACTTTTTTTTTTTTTTTTTTAATGTGAATCAATACAATAAGTGATGAATGTTTGGTGGTATGTTGCAGCCATTCGTTATCTGAAAGTGAAGGTTGGGACAAGTGACGATAATACCAAACCAAATAAGCGTAAACGTTTGGTAAGAATTGTCTTTCACATGGATTTGTTTGTTTTAAGTTTGTGGATTTTTTTTTTTTTTTTGGTTGATTTTGTATGTATATGTGTAGATATGTAAGCTACTAGAAAGGGATGGAATAAGTTGGAGTGATGAAGAGGATGGTCAAACAATGGCTGTTAGGGTTGATGTCGTTAATCCTAAACGATTGAGTTTTAACAAAAATTAGCAGCCAGTTACCTTTTATTTTATAATAGATAAAACTCCCAGATAATATTCAACTTTTGGTGTCCACAAGACTAGAAAGGGAGATGCTTGTTTGTTAGTCTCCCCTTTATTATGAAAGAATGCTTGTAGCAGAGGAGCAAACTGCTTACATTTTATTACTACTTGTTAATTTTGCCACGTCAGCTATCTTATCTACTAACGAAAACCTATTATCAAAAACCATATCCTATAGAAAATTTGGTTTTGCTATGAATTTTATGTTTTTAAAATATGATTTGTATAAAGTTAACTTTTGAGATTGGAAATCATCATAGCTTTAATGAAGCCTACTTATTTCGTGAAATATGAAACTAGAAGTTATCATTGCTTTTTACGATTTGTATTTATTTTTTGAAATATGTCATTAGAAATTACGGAGTATTATTACTTTTATGATGCTTACTTATTTCAGGAAATATGACATTGGAAACTAATATGACCATGGAAATTATCATGTGATTTTTTAATATGTACCCTAAGAACGCATATAAGAAGTATTAATTATGATAAATATTACTATAATTAAATTCGAAATACATTTATTTTGAAAATTATTGATGCATTTCACTTTTAATTATGTCAATATTTTTTATAATTAAATATATTTTACATTTAATTATGGTAATATTTCACATTAATTAATGATTTTTATATGTGTTCTTAGAGCATATATTAGAAAATCTCAATTATCATTGCGTTTATGATGGTTACTTCTTTATGGAAGTATGAAGATAGAAGTTAGAGAAAAATACGAATTTAGCTTAATCTTTAAATTATTTTTCCAAAATATAGCCTAAAAGTTTTTAAATAATGACTCAAACAACAACTGAAATCATAGAGGACCCTTTTGTATGCTACGTTAAGGTTGGGGTTTCAGTTTAACGATTGTGATTTCATTATTGGCCGAGTCCATGAGCCCTTATTTTTAAGGTTGAAAAAAAAACTATCTTCATTTTTATATATTAAGTTTAGAATCGAGCAAAGAATCCTCTTATGGCAAACGAAAACACTTCATTTTTCAATTTTCTAGTATACATCTAAAATTTAGTTAGATAATTGTAGATAAGTATTTGTATAGATTATGTGTTAATATTTTTGTATGTTCTTATTTTAAATTAAAGGAAATTGGAGATCTTATCTACAAGTGTATATCTGTCAAATATATAAGGTTATGTATTAATAATGAGAATCTGAGATGAGTTAGATTAGTCGCAGATGAGTTTCTCTAACTCATCCGAATGGTTTTATTTAGTTAAAGGGTTTTATAAACATTAAACACCATTACATAAACATTATTGAGGTAGATGATTTTTTGTTTGACTATCAACTGAAAATGTAAAAGTAATTATACTTTTTTATTCAACTTCACATATTATGGGCTCTTGGGCTTGATCCACGATGAAATCTCAAATCATAAGCTGAAATCGTCTAATAAGAGCTACATGGGATTTCTTCAATGGTTGTTCGAGTTATTTCATAATTTTAAGAAAAAAATTATATTAGTTAAAAGAAATTAGGAATATGTTTTGAAAATTCATTTGCATATATTTAAGACATATTGTTAGTCCCAGTCCCACATCGAGCAACTAAATGAAATAGGTGAAAGATACATTATAAATAGTAATATGAGAAAACTTTGAAGTATATATAGGGTTGTTCCAAACATATTTTGGATCAAGGAAAAAAAAGTCATTAAAATACAAAATTTTCATCAAATTTTTTATAATAACACAATAATTGGAAAAAAAAATTACTTATACTAGCTTCTAAAAATTTTGGGTCCCTACAAAATATGAACCCCCGACGGTTATTCCTGACGCCCACTCTTTAGAACGTGTCTGAGTACATTTGTGTTTGAAAACTATAACTCGTCTAACAGTTAAAAGCCGATTAGTCATGGTGCATTGTTATTCTAAATTGGCTTTTGTAGTTGTTTTTAAAAGTTTAATACATATATTTATAAAATCTGGTTTTTGAATGATTTGAACGGTTTGGTTGAATCTAGGTTTTTGGCCCATCGGGATTCCACTAGTTTACTAACAAGTGTATTTGAGATTGAAAAAAAAAAAAAAAAAAAACATAAACAAAACATAAACTTGATCGGTTTTCAGTTCCACCAATCAAACTGGCTAGTCTATTTACCAAACCATGCTTGTACAACCAGCCTAGCTAAACCTAGTTAGGGAACCAGATAGTTTTCTATTTTAGGTTTGTCTCTATTTCAATGAAATTTTCATAATTGTTGTTCTTCTTCCTTGAGTTTGAAGGTTTTAGTACCATTATAAACATAGGTGAAATTGATGAGTAGTTTAGGAGTGGATTAGATTTGCGGTTCCAAAAAAAATAAAAATAAAAGGTATAAAAGGCATTAGCTATAGTGTTGAACTACTTACACCAACTTCAATTTCAAAAGAGATTATCAAAATGATATTTCTCTAGTGCATTACATAACGACTCGGATTGAAAATGGTTTTTCTTAAACAGGATTAACAAATCGGTCGTTGCAAATATCATTGAAACAAGGGAGTCACATATATTATATTCATTCAAAGATGAACAACGTGAATTTACATTACCAAAATTCACACACACACTACAAGTTTTTATGATGTTGTAATTAAGAAAGTGCATCTTTCTTGAGTGTGTGTGGAAGTGAGTAGCTGTTTGATAGGGTTGGAAATATTTTGGTTAGAATAAGCGTAGAATCTTGAACAAGACAAAAAAAAAAAAAAAAAACGGTATTTGCATGAGTAGTTGTCCTCGTGGATCAATAGCTTATAAATATCACAAAAAATTAGCAATAAAAAATACAAAACATTCACCTACGAAAGCTTATGCATCAATTGTAAAGCTTTCAGATACCTACCTCATTTTCAAGTGAACAAACAAACAAACAAACGAATCCAATTCAGGCCTCTGATGAGGCTCTCTTTCTCTTCTTCAACTTTTTGACTTTGACTTTGGCCGACTTATACAGTTTGACCCCTCTCTTTGACTTCTTCTTAGAAGTAGACCCTGCAGCAACACCATCATCATCATCACTGCTAAGAATCCCCTTTCCACGAGGCAATGGCTCTTCCTCATCGTCTACATTCCAATTACAAAAAAGCCCCTCGTGTTCCACAAAGTCTTTCTCCAACGGGTCCCCTGCTCCAGGGAGTAAATTGGTAAATGTCACATCACCATTCAAACCTCCTTTTCTCTCCAACAAAACTTTATCTGGTCTTATAATTGTGCCAAGAATACTCCTGTTTGGGCCTAGGCTCATTATCAGTTTCGTGTTTGTCAAAGTCGAACATGCCATTCCAAAAGCTGATTTTATCTGTATGCACACCAAGGGTATTTTAGACATTTTACCAACACTCCATTCAAATCACTTATCATCACTACATCTACTACTTACTAACCTGGAAATAGTTGAAGGAATTTTTTCCTATATCATTATCCGGAGCCTGTCATCAAACACACAAAAAACCACATTAATTATAACTTCATAAAAAGGGTAAAAAGGTAATTCGGTAGATAGATATATATATTACCTGTGGATCCTGAATAGCAAGTAGTGATCGCCTGTTTGCATTTAGGAATCTAAGTACAAAAGTCAAACAAAGATTATCAGTCAACAAGTAATGTAAACTGAAAAAGAGAGAAGATTTTGTTACCCTTTGCTCTTTTTAGAAAAGAAGGTGCCTCCATCATTGCAAGATATGCCAACATCAGATGTATTCAACTTACGCCCATACATATCAAAAAAAGTAACCTACTTTCAAAGAAAACAGATCATATTATTAGTGAACTTTTTTAAAAAAAAATTCAATTTTCCACCTAAGAAAACATGCATATGACATCATATGGAAAAGAGAAAAAAAAAAATCATACCAAAAGAACTCCAAGATTATGTTCTGGAGAAGCATGAGAATCAAGTGAGTTCTGTATTACATAAGAAGAAATTTTCAATGAGAATAATGTAAAGAATTGCACATATTTAGAATTTAAATAAAAAAAATAAAGTACCCATGTAGTAAGTACTTTTAAATATGTACCCGCAACATTGCTATTAGCATAGCTAGAAGTGCATAAGAACCAATCCCACCTGAATACACCTGCACTAATAAAAATTAATTAATAAAAACATCTACAAGAAAAGATTTTTATTTATTAATGAAAAGATAAAAAGTATCACACTCACACACCTCATTTAACTCCCTTTGTTGTAGAAAAACTTTCAAGATCAAACATAATGGCCTTAATTGTGGCCACTTAGATATAGCATCCTAGAAAAAAATAAAAAAGTGAAATCTAGAGTTAATAAGATACTTCTTTATTTCTATTATTGATTTATTTATATATTTATCTAAACACCTAAACAAACCTGTATATATTCAGCTGCTTTCGGTCCATTTTCCATATCAAAACTGTTAAAAAGAAAACAAGTGCTCAAAAAAAAGAAGGATAATACCTTAAAAGTATGAGAAATAAAGATTTTGATTTTCTAACCTTACATCAAATGAGATGCCACTTCTTTTTTCCACAAACTTAATGATTGGCACACGGGCTTTAGCAATCACCTGACACGTATATATAATATAATTCAGAATATTTAAATATAATAAATTAGACAAATAAATCGATTGAGGTGATGACATCATGTAGGGTTACCTGAATCTTTTTTGCAACACCTCTTTGAGATAAAGCCCTAGAGAGAGCATGTAAACCCATTTGAGGAGTTCGAATATGTGAGTCTAGTATCACCATCTACAATGAGTTTTTATAATTATATCATGACATAACATTCGAATAGTGGTTTGAAAACCCTATTGTATTCCAGCTTCAAGAACAATTGATTGTGAATATCTATGTGAATAATTGATTAAGAGAATAAATGGGCTTACATCAACATCACTGCTTGGTAAGAATAAACCTGTCTTGAAAGAACCAAAAACTTCTACCTGAAAAACAAATATAAAATATAAGAATTGCACCTCTTTGTAGAATTTTATTGATATCATATTGTATTGGGAGCACATGTACCTTGCACATAGGCCAGATATACTTTATAACATCTGAAACAGATTCAACTGCTGTGTCGCGTGATACTTGCTCTTCAGAAGTTGGAGATAGAAAATCACAAAAATCCAGGATCTCTGATAAAAAAAAAAATAGATGCAAATCAACTTAATACAATGGCACAAGCTTATTGAATGACTATATGTTACAGAGTTTGTGGAAATTAACCATTAAAGTTATTATATATGCAGTATTTGATACAAGATTGAATGTGAATAACAAGGTAATCTTGAA